TCAGCAAGTCTGTGCCATCAAGCTTCAAGTCAACGGGAGTTGCAACTGCAAGTCCCATGTCATGGCCAGTGCCGCCAACAAAGCAGCTCCAGCGAAGATCTCCATGAGGAACGCGTGGCAACCTCTGGGCAGTGACGCTCCGTTGCGACGTCCACGGAGTCGAGCCAACATGCAAGCATCCTTCTGCTCCAGCTCGTTGATGTCGTCATTGAGCTGCTTCTTCTGGCCTCGTGTCAAGACCTTGGTGGTCTCTTCATCCACCGCAAGATACGGTGACTTTGGAGATGCCGTAGAGCTCTGAGGTGATGTAGGAGCAAGTGCCGTCGATGGAGTCAGTGGTGCACCATCGGAGTCATTCTTTCCCTCATAGAGCTCGGGTTCGTATAGAGCTCAGTTTCAATCTCCAAGGTGTCAAAAGCCTTCTCGGAGGAGAGGAGTGCCACTTGCGAAGGAAGCAGGTGCAATCCCAACAAGCCATTGAACTCGGTGACCTTGATGTAGCCACCAAACAGCTTGCTGTAGACCTTGTCATGGTCCTCGGAGAGATCCATCTGCAGTTGTAGGCGTCGCTGGTCACGGATCGACAAAACCAGGTGCATCTGAGTTGACCAGCTCGGTGCTGTCAATGGTGCCGACTGCAAAGCTTCCGGAGGCATTCTCAAGCTCGAAGCAAACTTCAAGACGTCGGATTCCATGAATGCTGCAAGCTTCTTGACGAAGTGGGCATCTTGATGAGCCCAAGTTCGTTGCCTCCATGTGTCGCTTCGTCCAGCGATCGCCGTGGCAAGTCTTGTTGCACCCAGGCCAGAGTCCAGCACTGCCACCAACCAGTACCAATAGCGCTTGATCTTCTTGCGCGGAATCCTCTTCTTCCACGGCCATGTAGCCTCGGGTGGGGGTGTTACGATAGTGCGGAGTCCTGGTAGGTGTTCTTGGCGGTTCAGTGCGGGCTCCAGGAGTGGCGTGCTGATCCTCTTGTTCTTTGCGACGCTTCTCAGTGAAGTAGTCGGCCAAATCTTTCATGCCCTTGCAGGATCCGGTGTTGACCTCATTCAAACACCAATCAACATAGCCAGAATCTTGCCAACCATACCAGAAAGGTTGGCCCTTGTACTGCCGAAGTTGATGGTCCTCCGGCCCCAAAAGTAGAGCTCTTCATTCTCTGGCTGCTGCGGAGATGCCCTCGGTGGTGTCCGGGGCGGAGTCCTTGGTTCCACGGACGGTGCAGGTGCAGCAGATGTGGTAGAGCTCGAGGGATCACTGCCTAAGAGCGAAACATTCACAGCAACTGCATCGATGATCTTGTGCAGTTCTTCAAGGCTCAATTGGTCATTGTTCTCCTTGGACTTGACGTTGGCCACAATGAGGGCGCTGCGAATGATCTCCTGCGCGGCGTGGATGTCAAAGTGCTTGTCGGATTGAACAGGCTGTCCAATTGCACCCAGCAGGAACTGTCTTGAAGGGGCTGTAGTGCCAGTGGCCGGGAAGTGCTTGTCGTCCCATCGTCCTCTGGTGACCTTTCCACAGTCCAGGCAGGAGTTCCTCCAATTGATACCATTTGAGCCTCCACGTGACTCGATAGTGTGGGCACATGGCACGGTCCTTGGTGTGACCTTCAGGTGTCGGGTTGAACGGAGAGGCTTTGGTCTTCTTCTCCCGTTTGAGCACTTTGTTGCAATCCAAACAAGTCTCCATGAAGCAGTAGCCATTGGTGCCCCTTGTGGTAGTTCGTGGATGTGAACATATGTCCTGCAGTGGAGTTGCCGGTGCGGCAGTCAGGTTGCTGTCCACAGATGACGGTGCCGGTGCCGACGGCAAAGGGGGCACGCTGTGCTCTTCTTCTTCAACGTCCATGTCATGGAGTGTGCTCAAGACCTGATCGATCACTCCAGTTCAGTGGAGGTGCCGGTGTTGGAGTAGAGCTTGTAGGTGCAGAGTGCTGCATCCATCCTCCGGCGTCCATGACTTGGGCCGGTGCGGCCTCAGTAGGTGCTCGTAGGAGAAGGTCAAGCACCTGCGCGGGCATAGAGCGAGTCCACGAGCGACTGAGTTGCAGTGCAGCACTCAGAACAGTCATGGAACCAGGCTGCGGCATTGCAGGAGTCAATGACATCGGTGGCCCATTTGACGATTGGCCAAAGTTCAATGCCATGAAGCTGACATCATCTTGGTCGGGCTTGTTCTCCTCATCGTGCATGGCGAAGTACACAACACGCGTCTTCGGGGAGCCCTTGCCGCTTCCCTTCTTGCCTTTGCTCATGGATGTAGATGTCGATGCCGTAGATGGTGTCGTCGATGAAGTCCTGGACTTACCTTTGCCAGATGACTTGGGGCATTCTCAATCTCCCATCCAGTGGCCACGTTGTCCGCGCTCGCGGCACTCAGTGCGCAGCTTGAGTTGTTGTAGCCGTGCACGCTTCTCTTGGAGAGAAAGACTGCCAGAAACTTCGAAGTGGCGTTGACCAGAAAAGCCACCATGGCCTTTGCCTTTTGCGCTGTGCCTCAACGAGTATAGGCCTCATATTCCAGCTGGAGGGCTTCAGCTGCAAGAGCGCATGCTTCATCACGCTCCAAGTCCAAACCTTCATCAAGGTACCAGGAGACATACTCAGCCATGAAGTTCTCACCATCATCCACGGAGTGGTAGGACAGGTCGTCGTCATCGTCCCAGATGATGTCCTCGGTGAAGCCAGCCAGCGACTGAGATTGGCTGTCCCAAGGGGTGGTGGACTCATTGTCATCGGCCTCATCCATGGCTTGGTATGACCTGCCAAGCCCTTGTTGCTGCTGCGACCCTTCCAGTCCTTCTTGTGGTCACGGAAGCTGTTGAAGCCACGCCGAGGTAGGTGTCGTTCTCGATCTTGGATCCTCAGGCGTTGGTTGAGCAGCTCATTGCCTACCTTGTCAACAGTCAGCTTGCCGTGGAGGGTCGTGCGGATCATGAGCTTCTGGTCATCAGTCAACCCGCTGTTTTGCAGCATCTGTTCAGCCAGGATGCCTTCGGAGACTTGGATGGAATCATCCAGCTGCTGGAGGTGCGACCACCATGTGCGGCGTCTGAGCACGTAGCTGCTCATGGCCTCGCCGGTTTGGCGAGCTAGGAGTCCTCCATGTCGTGCACCAGCAGCATATAGTTCCCTGGCCTCGAGGTCTTTCCTGGGCTGCCAGTTTGAAACTGGAGCGGCAGCGAACAGGCCTTTTCCAGGCGCAAAGCTTGAGCCAACATCAGTTGGCGGTACTCGAAACTCAGGCCGACACACGCAGGGAAAAGGTGTCGATACATGAAACCACGGTCACTCTCACAGAGGACTATGTGCAGCTTGTGTGAAGGTTCAATTGTTTGATGCTAGACTCTGCTAGACATCCGAAGCCACCCCGAGACTATGCAACACCAAAAGCATCTCACGTCAAGTTGAGCTTCAAGGAGTAGCCATCATTCTTGAGCATTTGCACGGTGTATCCGCCATCTTTGAGCTCCTGCCGGAAACAAGTAACCGTCAAACGAACCTGACGCGCGGTGTGGTGCTTATGGCTGAAGCACATGTAGCTTGCAAATGATTGGCGGTTGCCGCTGGTTCTTCTGATTAGTTTAGGAGGCTAGAACTCCTGCAACCAAACGGGCTCAAGCAGCTCCGTGGCTAAAGTGATTAAAACTATTCGACGCTGAAAGAATGCACTTGTCGCATCAATAACTGATAACTTAGTCATATCATGTCATATCTGGTTGTGAGCAGGCCCACAGCAAGGACGGCTGCTTGCTTGCTGAGGGGCAGCTGTTTTGGGCTTCCTAGGGTTGCCCTGTAAGTAAGTACTGTGCAAACACCATGTGAGATGCGGCTCCTGCAGGGTGCGTTTGCCTTTTCCAACAGTGCTGTGTGCATTCGCTAGCTTTGCCAGATCCTCCTGCATGGCCTCAGCTTGAAGCATTCGCCAAACCAAGTTCCCAAGGGCATCAGCGCACTTGTTCCACTTCATATCACACTCTTCGCGTGTTTGGTGGCTACGAAGGCCGGTCATATGTCGTGCTACGGGGCCCCCCCCAAAGGCCAAAGGAGGCTCCAAATGAGTGCTTCCCTGGCCGCACCTGCATTCGTGCCCTGTAGCTGTCCAGCTCCTTCTGCATGTCCTGCACCGGAGGAATGACAGTGTCGCTGCAATCATGCTGCCACTACCTTTCAATAAATTGTCAATCAATTCCACGTCCGTGTCATTTTATCAGCAAAATGTGGCCGTGCCCTTCAATGAGGATTGAGGACAGTGACGTGACATGATGGGATCATCTCAAACCAAAGTATACACAGGAGTCAGGGCTGTGCAACAAACATGCAACAAATGGCGGTCGTGGTACATCTTGGTAATTACATCGTGCCTGCATGGATCATGCGGGTACTGCTTTTGTCAGGAAAGTGCAGGCATGGATCATGATCCATGCCGCCCCATTGCACCTCGAATTTGGTCTCATTGCTCTCCGAGCTCTCTGAACGGATGGCAATGCGATGAGCAGCCGTCAGCACGAAGCACAGGGCAAGAACCTGCCAAGCTCAACCGCACGAAGCCAAATACCACGGTCAGGTGGGGGGTGTTCCCCAAATGCACCACCAGTGGGCTCAGAGTTTTCCAAACATCGATGCTAGGATCGCCATAAGGCTTGCAAAAGGTTCGCCAAAATCCCTGCCTTCCAAAGTCCCATGATGAACAACAGTTTGCAGCAAACGGAGTCAGAAAACCGTTACGGCTTGAGAGGCAAACAGCTCGAAACGACAGCTCCCCGCACCACATGTCCAAGCAATTCTGCGCTGGCGGGGCTTGACAATGCTGAATGGACTCTCTCGGTCAGATCTACCAGTCTATGCAGTCGAGGGACCTCTCAAGTCCACGAGAGTATTTACCCGACCCAAGCCTCCATGCCCAACCCCCACACCCCATAGCCACACATCAGAGAACAAGAAAAGCTGACCTAGGTCCTAGGCACAACTTAAATCGGAGAGTGAGTTTTGGAATCAGCATGCAGGATTGCGAGAATTTTGTAAGATCGCGGGGGGTTCTGGAATCGGAACGTTGCCGAATCGCAGTGTCTGAAACTGGAGTTGCGGAAGCTGATTCTCTGAATTTCTGTTGGATTTGGTAGCTTGAAATCTGTTGGCTGCCTGGCTCACCAGATCCTTCAGTGGGTTGGGATCGAATTTGGTGTCAGTTTCGGACGTGGCGATGCAGGTCTCAGAGTTCCAGTCCCTCCTGACTTGTACCGTGGGCAATGATGTACCGTCCAGAAGTTGAAACCCATTTGAATCTACTCTTGGAATCAACCTCCAAACATAGTCTTCCCACTCGGCAAACCATAGTTGAACTTTAAGTTTAGATATCTCTTTATACAATAGCCATACACATTTCGACTGCAATACATGCATTTCTTTTAAAATATACTAAAAGTAGAGTCCATGGAAGTTCGACCAAACAGTAAAATTTTGGCACTTGGCGGGAGCCGTGTGCCGCAAAGTCTTTGAGATTCTGTCTGCTCTTAGATCCCGCATGAAGGCGGGGCACAAGAGAATTCAGCATCCACATTGTCACAGAACAGCAACAGCTGCGCGCAAACCAACCCCTAAATTACCTCATATAATTCAATACTGTTACTATATTTAACAAAAAAAACTTACTGCTGTAACATTACTATATTGTGCAACCACTCGATCTGCAAATTTGATCTGCAATAATTGCGTTCGAATACATTTTAATTGACTGCGTTTCGGAGATTGCTTAATTCTGTCATTTTTTGCAAGACCTTGATAAGCCAACAAAGTGTACATTGTGTACATAAAAGCATATGAATTAAAGCATCTAGGTCCTTGGCGGATTTCGCTTCATCCATGACGTTGGCCTCTAGCGTACCATCTCACCGCATGCCACATGAAAAGGATTGGAGACAATGTCCAAGCCTTGCATCTTGTGGCGCCCTGACATGATCTATGTCTCTCTCGCTCCCTCTCTCTCTCTGACATTATCTGATCACTTTGAAGCTTCTCATGCCGGCCTAGAAACATCCGAATCTTTGGAAGGTCGAAACAAGCTACGCAGCTACAGTAAGTTCCAGCTACAGTAAGTTCTGGCAGCAAGAACATCTTGTTAGAAAAGTTTTGTGACATGTGCATTCACCGGTCCTCGATCAGCAAGAGCCAAGAATTCTGCACTCAAGGAACGAAACTCAGTGCTCAGTGGTTTTCGGCCGCTCTGCGAGGAGTCCCGTTTCTCGTCTGCGCGGCCACAGTGAAGGTTTGACTGTCTGTGACTGCAACTCGTTAAAGAGACTGACATGTTTGGATATCTTTGGTATTGACCAGCACGGTTGTATCGACTGCGCCCCTGACAACTGGCAAACACCCCAACAACGGAGTGCCTTTCACATACTCAGCCTAGCTTCAATGGCCACAAAACGACAAACACTTCATGACCAAAAATGCCATACTAGGCGCTTGTGATGAAGTTGATGGCAAGTTCACATGTCATGTCTTTTCACACGAGGGCACGACTGAAGGCCTTTGCGCTCACTCAAGAAATCGCACGAGCTGCCTGAGGGATCCTTTTTAAGAACACGTGCTAGGTTTTTGCGAACGCTGGCCAGTGGGCTGGGCTGAAATGGTGCTGATTTTCTTGCATCACCGTTTCTCAGCTGGTTGCTGGAAGGCTGGTTTGGAGCAGTGAGGATTGAGCTGGTCAGTAGAAAAGGTTACAGTCAATGAAGAAAGATTGATACAAGAGGTTGCATGTAAGCTGAAAAGTCAATGACTGCGATTCTTGGCCAACTACACCAACGTCCTGGATGTTGCGCAAAAAGACTGTACTTGCCAAGTGCCACTTATCATCTCAGTCCACAAAATAGACTAAAATGTCATATATGTCTGTCCAGTCTGTCCCGTGCAACTGCAACTCCCGGATTTCATCATGGCTTTTCCTTAAGCTCGGGCCTTCTTCAACTTTGCTCGTCCGTTTTTTGTGTTGACTATTGGCCGTTCAGGATTCCTCGACAATAATTGAACATTAACGCCAAACATGATCGATCATACATATATAAACCTATATACAGTACACATACACATATGATAACACTTGCCAGCTGCCCACCCTCCCTCCCACCCACATCAAAATAAGATATTTATTATTCTTACGTGGGTGTACCCACCTGCGCACAGAAATATATGGAGGTAGCTTAGGTCAGAAATAATAAACCACACAGCATGATAAGATAGGGGGGGAGGTGGTATAGACCACCCACCTAGGTGGGTAGATATATGGGGACAGCTCCTAGGAATGTGTTCAGTAATAGCAAACATAGGTGGTTCAAGCGCAACCACCTACAAAATCTCTAAATAAAACTCCTAGCTGGCTAAAGACAGCAGGCTCTAGCCCTGGAATCTAATCCAGCTGGTACAACCGGTGATTGGACAATCACACCAAATTATTTTTGCTCTGGCACACGTACCCCTCCACCTGCCAAATAATTTCCAATAAACCCTGCATCATACCTTCTTCCACGGATTATTGTTATTCTATGTCATTCAGTGCTGAAAATTATTTAGAAACAATATATCAAAATAGTATTTTACTATTTTGCAACATGCCATACTATATTTTTCTACATGGTAGATATTATTTTGACCCACCACCTACATGGCTTTCCAAATAATACTTTATGGATTAGATAGGATACTGGTCTCTTTAAATGGGGGGTTCTGTTTTTTCCATACAAACAATGTTGGGCGGAAGGACCTATGTAACAAAAACATGTTGTTACCTTTGCCTATAACCTTTACCAATAGAAGGACCTGTGACCTGTATCCTTTTGCTGTCTTACATTACACAGAAAATAGTATAGATATGTGATATGTGCTATTATTGTTATTTGTTTATTATCAGCTAGCAGCTCATGGTTTCATTGGCCGGGTGCATTCTGCACTCGCTTGAATCATTTTT